CACCGGTTCCCATTCCTTATCCTGCATTTTGCACATGCAAATAAAAGAATATGCATGTCCACATGCCACGTGCACCATGGCCCGTGGTAGCATCTATACCTACACATATGCATGTCGCCGTATGAATAAATTATCGGTGCCGTCTGTTCCTCTTTCGTCCTCTTCCTTTCTGACTGTACTCAAACTTACACTATAACCATGCTCCACGTAGATTGTCCTAGGCCTCCAATCTAATATTTTCTCCCCTTGACACTTCTCCTGTGTTTCGTGCTTCTTCCCCTTCCCCTTCTCTCCTACGGCACCACCAGCATCACCACCACGTCGTGCCATGCGCCTGGACCGCGTCTGCGTTGCCATGTTCGTTGCCACGGGTGTCGCCGCTACTGGTTTGGTAGCGTTGCCGTCGCTGTCGACCGGCTTGGCTGGTACTGGTTTGGCGGCGCTGGTCTTCGCATTCGGTGGCTCCGCCTGCGGTGCCGGAGGTGTAGGCCGCCGTGGTCTCCCTGGTCCTGTTGCAGGTCGTGATGATCCCACTTTCCCGGGTCCTCCTACGGATCCACGTCCTAATCCTCGTCCTCCTGCCGCTTGTCCACCCGCAGCGGTCGTTGCCATCCTTGTCACTGTGTCCTTCACTTTTTTGACTTCGTCCTTTACCTTGTTCAGTACTTGACATTTCTCCTTGGATGGTCCTTGTTTCTGGATATCATCTAACATCTTCTTCACGCGCTGAAAGGCCGGACCATGTTCCACCCAGTACTTGATGTCCCTCATGAGCTCAGAGTCCTTGGTTATCACCCCCGCCTCTTCATGGCACTTCTGGTCACTCTCCGCGCGCTGCCTGTGTGCCCAAGCACACGTTTGTCCTGTGCCATGTGTAGTGCGTGTGTTGCCTCCTGCCAAACCCTGTTGCCACTTCTGCAGCCTAGTGTTTAAGGCCTCGCCAATGCCACGTAATCCGAATATAACGGGCCCATAATCCTGGTCCTCACACACCCCTGGCTCATATTGCTTTTGCCCTGGTGCATCCGTTTTCGCCAGTTGTTCCTTAACTTTCTTTATTACTTCCTGGTGGTCACTAGTTGTCCCATACACTTGTAGTAAAACCTCAGTCGCAAGTGTACATCTTAAATATTCCATAAACATCTCGCCGCTGCTGTCATCCACCAGTCTTTTTGTCCAATTACCCGTACTGTAACTGTATCCCTTTATGTACAGCATAAGGTTTGCAATTTCATGGCACCTGCTTTTGCATGTGGACACATTTGTTTCCGCTCCGGTATATATACTTCCACAAATACCGGCGTTCTCGCCGCTACCTTGGGTGATCGCTTTTGTTACGTCCTTGAATATGGTCTCAACATCCTTCATTAATTGTTTCTGCGGATAGAAGAATCCATGTATGCGTGTGCATATGCCTTATGCACCTGTGCCCTTAAAATCATCTACATTTAACCTCAGCTCTTTGCATATGCATGCACTGTCAGTGCACTGTATCTTTCCTCACCATACCTCGCGTAAAGTACGACAGTTATATAAATAGTCTATGCGTACACATACAGGTTCCAATTTCCCATGTATATATGTTGCTATCCGAACTGCAGCATTGTGCATGTTGCGGAATGTTGTGTACAATTGAACTTACCCAATAACCCTTGCCGTCCTTGATGCCCCATCTCAGTAGATAATGCTGCCATGCCAATAGGAATTCCAGTATGTCCTGGCCATAGTGGTTAGCCATAATGCACACTACTTATTCCCTTTCTAAAAAAAAAGTACAACAACAACAACTACTACGACCGCACGCCGCTCAATAACAACAACAAAAAAAAACAAAATATACACACACACCGTCTCCGTCAACGCTTCTCCCGTCAACGCCGTCTGCGTCACCCCGTTCTCCGTGAACGCCTCTCCGTCACACGCCGTCTCCGTCAACGCCTCGCCGTCACACCCCGTTCTCCGTCAACGCTTCTCTCCGTCAACGCCTCTCCGTCAACCCCGTCTCCCGTCAACGCCTCTCCCGTCAACGCTTCTCCCGTCAACGCCTCTCCGTCACCCCGTCTCCGTCCACGCTCTCTCCGTCAACGCTGCTCCCGTCAACGCTTTGTCCGTCAACGCCTCTCCCGTCCACGCTTCTCTGCGTGAACGCGTTCTTCGTCAACGCTTCTCCGTCAACGCCTCTTCCGTCAACGCCGTGTCCGTCCACGCCTCTTCCGTCAACGCCTCTGCCGTCAACGCCGTCTCCGTCACCCCGCCTCCGTCAACCAAGTCTCCGTGAACGCGGTGTCCGGCACGCTGCTACCGTCAACGCTTCTCCGTCACCCCGTCTCCGTCCACGCCTCTTCCGTCAACGCTACTCCGTCACGCTTCTCTATCACGATTCTAGAAGTCGTGATAAATACACAACAATTACTTGTTGTTCTTCGTACCGCCGTCCTCGTAAGAAGGACAGATTGTCTCTCCGAGCAAACGCGGCCGGATAAACGGATTGTCCCAGGAAGTAGCCGCGTGTAAGAAGGGAGAGATTGTGTCTCCGAGCAACGCGGTTCGACGAAGTAGGCGAGAGTAAGAAGGAGGAGAGATTGTCTCTCCGAGCCACGGACCCGTCCGGGTGTATGAAGGATTCGACGCAGGATTGTCCGAGTGTAAGAAGGAGGAGGATTGTCTCTCCGAGCAAACACGGCCGGGTACGGGTTTGTTCGAGTACGGCATTGTCCGTGTGCCGTGATTTGATGGAAGGATCCAGAGAGAGGGGGATCACAGAGAGGGAGGACAGAGAGAGCGGGAGAGCTGACGGAACACACATATTTTGTGGGAGGGCGAAAAACGACGGACGCAACGCAGCAACGACGGCAGGCGCATTGATGTTGTTGTTGTTCGTTTTAGGTGTACGCACACAGAGACAGTGTGTGAAGGCGTTTCGTGGATACCGGTGTAGAAAGGGGGGAGGGGGTATTATGCATGAAGCGTTGCGTGTGTAGGTAGCGTTGTGTAGCATTTTTTCTATTTTCTCCCTTCTGTCTTTTTTTTTTTTTATTTTTTTTTTTTTTATTCTTCTTGTTCTTTTTTTTACATTTTTTTGTTGTTGCCCTTTTTTGTTTCCTGTTGTTCTGTCTTTTTCTTTTTATATATGCATTTTTCTCTTATTACCTATATAGAAGTCCTGCATGATTTAATATTAGTGGAACACTCGGATTGCCCACAAGGCACACATGAAGGTTTTGTTGCATATAGATTTGTAATGTTAAATCTTAAGCAAGGAAGTTCCTAATGAACAACAGATGAAAAGTACAACATGCACAACAACGGACTTGTATAGCAGTTTCTGTGGCATCTATGGAATTTTTAGAAATTAATCAACGGTGCAATGTTATACCATAGTGCAAAGGAAACGGGAAGAACATGAGTGCAAAAGAGTTCACAGATTTATTGGTGGAATATATATTAGAAAGAAAAATACAAGGTGACCTCCACGATGGGCAAGATTTTAGCGTAAGTTACAACGATTAAGAGTTAGAGGACGTAGAGTGATGTGAATTGTTACATTTGAGGAAAAGTGTGCGGGACACGTATATGGAACCTTAGGGGAATATATCACTACTGTAGGTTAGTATTGTCCTCTACTCATACCAGGCTACGTGCGCAATACTGAGTATTATGTGAATTTAATTATGGGCAATTCACCATTAAGGCAGAGTATACGAAATATGCGCGTACTTATTATTGCAACTGTAGGAAAAAATATGGAACGATATAGAAAATATGTTCAAGGAATTGGTTCTATATGTAGATGATAGGAAGAACAACCCTATGCTACAGGTAATGTGCAACTACAGTGACTTCAGCGCAGAATATCTTAAGGGTCCGTTGAATAGATTTTTATGCATGGAGGTCGGGAAAATATTTTATTATATGGAGGGATTGAATAACAACGGAACCGCACAGAGGAGTACGGATCCAGGAGAACGCGAGCTGCGGAACTACTTAAGGTGCATGATAGGGACCTGGACCCTCATGAGCTTACATGGCAACAAATGTAACATCAGAGAAATAACGACACATGTTTCCACATTAATGCGTACGCTGGCGCACACGTTCCATGCTGTAACTAATAGAGACACATGTGCTTGGGTTACATTTGAGGAACTCAAAATTGGGATGCGTTTAACGGGGGAAGCAATGGAACAATGGGTAACCCAATGGAAAAGCAGAAGGTCTAAGATAACTCAGGGAATTAGAGCAGGAGGATGTGATAAGCTTGGAGGAGGGCGGATGCGGATAGGAAGTGGACAAGGAGATGCACCAAGCAACAACATTGATATATTGAAAAGTGAGAATTTAGACCAACTACACAGCTTGATCGAGAACAAGGAGTACCTACCGAAAGCTAGGGTACGCGACATAATGGTAAAAGTCGGAAATAGTAAGAACACGCAACAAGGTAAAAAAATATTAGAGGACGCAATAAACACTTGGGACCAGGAAAGGAATAAAATATCATCCAATGCAGCAGAGACATCATCAACACCAGCAGCTCCATCGGGCGGGTCAGAACACGGTAATCAGGATGCATCCACTAATACCAGCGGTCAACAACCACAAGCAGGACGCAGACCGCCTGCCGCACCTCCGCACCCGCATGGTAAGGCAACATCGGTGCGACACCGCTGAACAACAGCACACAACAAACAGCACTGGCGCTGCGCTGACGTTGAGACCCCGGTACCCATACGACGGCATGCGCATGATAGCGATGGCCACAACACGCACACGGGAACAACGCACGCACGGCGGCACAGCACTGAGCGGCGGTTGAGCCGAGCACAGCGGCGTACACGACGGGAGCGACGAACGTACCGTGAAGAGGCAGCGGCGACGCCGGCAGCGGACGCGATGACGGCGACAAATAAAAGTGTACTACTACCCTCCATCCCGACCCAGTCGACCGAGTTCACCTCACCGTACGCTTGCTGCCGCCTCACCCAGTCCACCGAGTCTTACCTCGACCCACTGCATCGACCCATGCATCGAGCCGGACCGTACCCTGCCGCTAGCTGACCCCACCGTGCCGCCCATTTTGTACCACTTGTGTCCTTTTTTTTTGATCATGTTTTTACAGATCCTAAAGTAGTCAAACCAGCTACGGCTGCTAAACCCGTTGCTGCCAAACCCGCCCCGGCCAAACCAGTAGCGGCGAAACCGGCATCACCACCGGGACGGGGGCTAACGACCCCCTCGGGGACGAAGACTTCCGCAGGAGACAAGTGTGATTGGAAGAGCGTATTAGACAAAGGGAGGAACAGTACATTATATGTGATGCGGGGTTATAATGTAAGTTAGAGTAAGGCAACAAGCGCAGAAGAAGGAAGGAAGGGGATAATGCATTGCGCAGGAATTTATTCATCAGTTATGTGCATATAAGGGTCACATATATGCTAAATAAAGAATGTAAGAGCAATATGCGTATGAATATTTACATATATTTATGTGCAACACGCAGGAGAACCAGAGGACGAAGTTGAAGAGTGTGCTAGATGCATTTGCACAACATATGCAGAAGCACGAGCAGCTCATGGAACAATTAGGTGCAAACTGTGATAATTCTGGTTGGGAAGATTTCACACCGGGGGTATATCACAAGGATCAGACCGTCGGGGATATGATGAGATGTAGACTTATGAATACTGCATTGTGGTTTGCAAACAAGGATGACAAGGATGATGAGGAGGTGAACAGGTTAAGATGTGAAGTAGCAAATGTTTTTGGATATATACTGAAAAATATATATTGTAAGGATAAGGGCGGATACAATAGAGGTATAGAGTATGCATATACAGCAATGAGAAATATGGGCAACACGGTAAATGGAACAGAGGGATTAAAGGGTCCCGTGGCAGAGGGCAGATGCACCATGTGCGGATATGTAGGCCATACACACAATGTGGAAGCAGTAAATTTGGAAATAGCACAATGGTTAATGAATCAAGGAGGAATATTGGCAGAAATACAACAACTGCAGCAGCAACGGCCCTGTGCGGAGTATTGGCAAGATTATATTAAGAAGGAGGCAGCCGAAAGTGGCCCTGTAAAGGACACTTTGAAGCCAGAAGCAATGGAAGAAATGGACAAAGCAAAGAAGGAAATAAAGAAGACAGCAACGAGGGTGTTTGAGGCAGCGGAGAAAAAGGTACAGGATAAAATTACGGAATTGCAAGGTAAGAATACGAACATACGGCCCGATACGTACCGAACGAATATGGATGGACGGCCACCACAACAACACACGCACATGCGGCGAGAACAGCACAGTACGTCGCTGCCCCACTTCGCATCCCCGTGGTGGCCGCTGTTCCCTGTCAACATCTACGTTCTATATGTCCACTTTCGTATGCGGCTACTTCCACACACATACACAAGCCTGGAAGCCCATACAATCCTACCTGCATGCATGATGCCTACATATTGTAACATCTGCAATTAAACAAATTCAAATGCTAGGGTACCCATGGGACTCATACGTTTCGACAACATACATCATTCTCTTCCATGCTCTGCCGCTGAAGCAGAGAGCGAATTCATTATTTGTTGATGTACTGAAGAATAAATACACCGCACTAGGTCATGCACAAAGGAAGCATTAAACGCGCCCGGTCCACAAAACTTCCTTTAGATCCATATTATAATGTACAAGCCCACTTTCTTTTTTTTCTCTTTGGCACGGCGAATCTGTATTTTTCACCATACTACTGTTATTTGTGTACTGTAATATACATCTTAATTTCTTTTCATATAAAATTAAATGAAAACATTTTAGAAATGGGTTAAACTGCAACAAATTATATGCACAGAGAAAAATTTAAATTTAGAAAGTGCTTCATCTCATAGAACACGGGGAAAAAACAAAGATGGGTGAGCAACAAGTAAGACTAGATCCTACATTCGCCTTTTGCTTAGATGTATATAAGGAAGGAAATAGCCATAAAATTACATATAAAAAAAGGAGCAAAAGTGAAAATAGGAATAAAATACAAACAAGCCCGTAACTTGTGCATGCAAGAAAAAAAGAAAAAAAAAAAAAAAAAAGGCATAATAAGGTGCATACATGCACAAAAAAGGAAAAAAATATAGTAGGTGCTCATGTAAGATCCACGCGTATAGGGACCAAAAGGGGAAAAAACGGAAAACAAAAAAGCGAAAAAAAAGAAAAGAAAGGAAAAGAATAATGCTATAAATCTGCGCATATATGAGAAAAAAAAGAGAGAAAAGAAATAATTGCATAATGCATATGTAAGAAAGAACAAAAAACAATTGAATGGTGCGCATATTTTATTTGGCAAAAAAAAGGAAAAAAAGTAGTCACACAAATCGTACTATGTATCACAAAAAAAAAGAAAAAAAAGCAAAAGAACAATCCTATCATATTTGCGCATCGTAAAAAAGGAAGAAAAAAAAAATAAGAAAGAATCATACATGTATATATAAAGAAGAATGAAATAATCATATAATTCTTGAATGCACAAACAAAAGAATAGCCACGTAGTGCCAACACAAATACATATAACAATAATCATATAATCCCCTTCTTTATAAGTAGAAAGAAATATAGTTCTTAGGAATCTACTTTATTCTGAAAAAAAAAAGAAGTAAAGAACAAAATGATGTTCCCTGTGAAACTTTCCATATGTAGCATCCTATTGTACTCCTGTCAATATCCTGAACACGTACGACCCAATAATTAACGTTTCCGTAGAGTGGGCATTCCCATTTATGATTATGATGTTATTCGTGCTCCTAACAATTGAAAACAATTCTGCCTTCGTTTCATTTTATGTAAATACATGTGCACTGCATAACGCCCTCAAATACATCCTTCCCCCGTTTTTTCCTATATGTTAGGTAAATGGATTCGGCACATCATGGAATCATAGGCCCGAGCAACATGACACTCTCAGTGTCAGGATCAGTAGATTGTTAACGGTCGAATTGGATATGCAAGCACCAGCACCAAATAAAACATTACTGCTCAGTCCTGGTACGGGTCCAGGTAAAAAAGTCGCATCGAAGCAGAAGCCAGGAAAGTCCGGTAAACCAACAACGAATGTTGCATCAGAAGGATCGTTACCGCAGTCCCCACAGAATAAAGTGCAAGGTGAAATGAATGAAAACAAGCCAAAAGGAACTGAAGTGAAGAGTGCAACGGACAAGCAAACACCAGAGCAAAATAAAGCACCCGCGACTCCTAGTGCAGGCCCAGTGAAAACCACGGCGCAAGATGGGAAGTCCGGAAAATCGAAGCCCAAAGATAGATCGCAAGGGTTACAAGTGGCCTCACAGAATGGGGCACAAATTAAAGAAACGACCGAGCAAACTAGGGGACTTTGTAGTACACTAGCGCGAACTATATGCAGGAATAAATGGTGGATCCCCGCTACAGTGGGCGTTCTTGGTTTTTATATACTATT